TTTATATGTATAATACATGCATATTGCAACCGTGCGAAGCCGGGGCCGGTCGCTAGTAATAGATAAGACATGAAAAAGTTAATTGGTAAAGGTTTAAGTATGAATTAGTTCTGTGTTACTATTTTGTGTACCTAAAGGTAATCTCCTTAATGTTTTATAGCTCTAGCAACAGGAGCAAATGGGTCTGTGGTAGTGCGAGTTGTTAATGTTACTTCAAATAGTCTCTGCTTCGAGCTGGACTTTAGCTTTCTTTTGGGACTAGCAACCTCAACTAATATACATTATACTCTATAAAATTTCTCAATTTTCAATTCACTCAAACCGGTGACCGGTCCGGAATCCGGTGCCTCGATTCCTGTGTCGGGCAAAGTAATATAGGGTTTAAAAAAATCTCTATAGTAGCACGGAATCTGTGTGTAGCATAACATAAATGCTGAAAAGTGGGTGTTACATTGTACAGAGATATTAATGCCGGAATACTGAAACGTTACTCTATTTTAAGTCCTGCTTAAATATCGTGCCATCTCTGTTATTTCACAAAGAATTTGTAGAGACAGAACTATACTTAAAAGCGCGACTTAAAATTGAGTAACGTTTGAGTATTCCGACATACCGTAATGTGCACCTTTGCCTACCCCTTCGGGTATAAAAGGCATGATGTCATGTTACTTTATAATCAGTTCAAATTTTCAGTACAACCCACATTGTTTGAAGTTATCCTCAAACATTATAAATAGAAAATACAAGCCTCCGATATGGTTTCTTTTTAATTTTAATTATCGTCTGCTAAAAATGGAAGTGTTAGCAAATATGGCGGTCGACGTCGTACGCAAATATCTTACGCATGTTTCTTTACTTTGTGACGTGGAATTGTTGAACTCATCGTGTAAAGAAATTCTAGTTTGTATCTCTTTTGTAACCATTCTAGGTAATGTAACTATTACATTAAAATAGCATATGGATCAAACATCACTGTCAATTTAACGAACTTTTCAAATCAAGAAACGTAACATTTGATCTTTTAAATTCCATTCTTTTTAAATTTTCAAATGTCATTTTAATTATTGAATGTTGATTAACACAACTTGTTGCTATGGTAACCGATAGTTTTCAAATAATGTGAGTTAATTCTTTGAGTTTACCGATATCAAAAAAAGAATGCTGTGTTTAGATGATTTTAATTATTTTTTGTTTGTTCACCGATAACTCCGCCATTTGTGAACCGATTTTCAAAATTATTATTTTGTTTTAAAGGTTATATACACCCTAGAGGGTCCCATTTTCATGAGGTCAGGATTTGATGATAGGATCCTAGGGAAACCGAGGTGAACTTTCGACAATTTTAGCAAGTATATATATTTTTTCAATAAGGATTTTGAAATAGGAGTCGACCTCATAATGGCGCCGACTTCTAGCCTATGAGGGGCTGGGTAACCTATCAGTACTAATAATAGTTATTTTAGTTTTTGTTTTTTTTTGAAGTTTTGAAAGCATTTTTTATTTTTAATGTAATGTTAATGGCCTCACAACACTATTTTGGCTTGTTTATCGTTACAAGAACCAAGTTATTGTCAATTAATTTCACAACATACGATGCTAGATAGAAATGCTTTTGAGTCATTAAATAAAATCGAGACTTCCATTATGATTATAAAACACATTAGAGTAATTTATTTTATTGTAAGTAATTTATTGATGTCAATGAATCAGAGTCAAAAATCGATAAGTAGGTACATATTCTCGTTTATATTCGAGGGGTATTCCCATGAGTCCACTATGATATTTTATAGGGTAGGTGGCGCCTCTTTAACACGTGAAAGTGTCAGGGTTGTAACTTGTTCGAAAAAAAAATTCAAATGTATTTTGATCAGCAGAAAATTTTCTGTCTATGTTCTTATGTTTTTTAGTTTATTAAGTTTAAATACCTACTCTTCTTTGTTCTTCTTTTTTATGCATCTCCATACAGGCATAGTGTAGACTAGCATATGGAAATATGTATCTAATACTATTATATAAATCTGAAGAGATTGTCTGTTTGTTTAAACGCGCTAATCCTCGGAACTGCTAGTCCAATTTGAATAATTCTTTTTTTGTTGGATAGTGCGTTTATCGAGGAAGGCTATAGGTTATAAAATATCACGCTAAGATCAATAGGAACTGCGTAGAGTGGGTAGGAAAACGCGCGGGTGTAGCTAGTCTACTTATATGTATAATTTTCTAATTTGGATTTCGACGCGACTCGTGAAACCGTATCGTTGGCACAGCCCTAGATGTAAACACAACCACATCACGCAACCATTTGCGGTTAGCGTGAACCTACAGCTCTATACACATGGAATAACTTTTTTTTAAGTAAACAAAACACTTGAATTTAGAATATAATATTTATTCTTATAAAATCACTTTTTCTATTTTAAGTTTATCATTTACGTTTTTGGGAAACAAGTTTGCTTTCAGTTCAATAGTTTAGTTTTTTTTGCTTGATTTCAAATTGACCAGGGAATTCTTCAAAGAATTTCCTTAAAGAAGTTCTTGGAAATAAGATATCGGCACTGAATATGTAGGGCAGGCCATGTATCTGCCCTTAAATGAGGCTTTCATTATCTCATTGTAAGTTTATTGATGTATATTGCAATTTAAACTCCATTATGGCCACAAGTTAAACAGTTGGTCAAAATGTCATTGGTCGTTTAATTGTACTTATTTTAAGGTTCTTGGGAAGACCAACTCTAAATATAGAAGACAGGGTTAAACCGCAAATAACGAAGTGTTTTGATGTCGTTTTTATTAATTTCTTTGCTTGTGATGGCCACTAGAAAAACCGTTTCAAAATCTACATATGCGACGTAAACAAACTAACAAACTACTGCGCACAAGGTCGTAAATCTCGTAAAATATTTAGCATAGGCATTTTTGGAGAATACATAGACGCAGTGTTAATGATTTGGTAAAATTTTTGGTTACCTTTTTATTAAGTACCTAATTGAAAATACACAGCTATTTTTTTACATTAATAATAAACTATTTACATAAATTATTATGTTTTCGGCTTACTCACGTAATAATTTGATGAGGAACTCGACTAATTTCAAGCCATGCTAGAGGCTCGCAGAGGCACGCGACGCGGTGACTGCCGTAGAGAGAGTAGCAGCGCGACAGTCGCCGCGTAGCGGGTCGCGAAGTGCTGCTCATGAATATGAGCCTCTAGCATTAATAACGCGAGTAAGCCGAAAACATAATAATTTATTTAGTATGTCACACGAAAGCTATTGCCATATACCGGGCACATTTCCAGACTCCGTGGTACTACTGATATTTTTAAAAACCCAGTAATACTTTGCTCGACCCGGGAATCGAACCTGAGACCCTTTCCCCGGCAGTCGCACGTTTGCGACCACTCGGCCAACGAGGCAGTCTATTTCAAGAAAACAAGTTCAAAAATCAGCAAGACTAAGATTTAGCTTTTTGTATTCCTATGTATATTTAATGGGACGACGTTTGGCCACTATCTCTCGTGGTGGTAAGCGATGATGCGGCCTACGATGGAGGACGTCTACCCATTCATTAGCAACCTTTTCACTCGGGCCTTGAAGACACTCAGGTACCCTTCACGAAATACCTACTCTGGCAAACCTCAGAGAACCTAACGGGTTACCGGAGCTCCGGCTCGAAGTGCAGGAGAATGGAGGGATGGTTTTTAGTCAGTAAGAGTCTGACACTCCCTCCCGCCTCCCACAGTCATTCGATGATTATCCCCCTTAAAAAAAACCTATATCTATGCATAAATTTTACATTTCAATCATGTAGTGCTACTTACGTATAATATTAGTACCTAAATCTAATTCCTATAAAGCCGTGTAAGCGCCACCTGTTTGATCTCAATGCATTCTTGTCTGCGCGCATGAGTAATAGTGACTGGCGCTTGCGCTTACCTAGATATCTGCAAGGCATCACTCTTTGTACACGTGCAAACTGTTTGAGGAAAGGCACGTGCTCAGTGCAGACTAACAGAGGTACGAGTTTATTTTACGTTTTAACTCGTCGAGTACCGTCATTATAGACACAATTAAAGAACAATAGGTTGCGGTCACCGGTGTCCGCTTGGTGTTTGACAGTTTAAGTAATCGTAACGAGTACGCGATCGGCGCTCTGATTGGTTGCTTCATTGGCACCGGCCAATCATAGACCTTAGTACGAGTTTTTTTACGTTTAAAGTATTCGAAACGAGTACGCGCTCGGCGCTCTGATCGGTTGCTTCATTGGCACCGGCCAATCAGAGACCTTAGTACGAGTTTTTTTACGTTTAAAGTATTCGAAACGAGTACGCGTTCAGCGCTGTGATTGGTTGCTTCATTTGTGCCGGCCAATCAGAGTGCTGAACGCGTACTCGGTTCGAATACTTTAAAAGTACGTAAATCAAACTCGTATTTAGGCCTTAGTTTCCTAAATTATTATATTGTCGTTTTTAACTGCACATAGGTCTGTGCATTGGTGAAATTATATTTTAACTGTCTTTACTTAATCGTGTAATAGATTATCTGTATGTTAATCTAGTTGTAATTTACATTGTAAAGGGGTATTAAGTGCCGTAATGTTCACCTCTGCCTACCCCTTCGGGGATAAAAGGGCGTGATGTTATGTTATGTCCTTATTTAGATTGTATTTATTAAAAGTAATTCTAATCTATTTATTGATAGACTTGGTCATGTCTCTATTTCATTCATTTAAGACCTTTTTTAAGTAATGACTAATAATTTTAGTGCAATGAAGGCTTTAAAAAAGGTGATATCATGTTTAAGTAGAACTATTTTATATATTCTATTCTCCTAAGTGTAACAAACACGTCGCGGAGAACCTAACGGGTTACCGGGGTGGGGCTCCGGCTCGACGTGCAGGAGAAGGAATGGGGTGGTTTTTAGTAAAATTCTGACACTCCCACCCGCCTCACCCAGGCGGGAGCAGTCATTCGATGATTGTCCCCCCTTAAAAAAAAGAAAAGTACAAACACTTTTCTGAAAACCACATCCGAATCGATTCAGACGTACATACGGTTTTTTTACATAAAGTAATCCTAAGAAACTAAAACATTAAAAATAAAGAGAGGAGCAATAACAATTACAGAGTTACTATGTAGCAGCCAGTCATTTGTTTACGAACACGCAATCACAACGCATACGATAGCAACAGCAATGACAAATCTCAAGACAATTTCACACAACATCAGCCTAAAAGAACTTTATGAACGGGCAGTAAAAACAATATTAGTCCAAATTAAATTCTTAATAAATATTTGCCATATAAACAACAAATAAATATGTCGTAGTAAGCCGTAAAACAATATGTAAAGTCATGTGATTTTCATCACTTTCTGCTGAACTGACGACTCAATGTGACGTCACACTACGGTACAACAGATTATTTATAGAATACTTATTAATTTAGACAAAAACAGTTTTAACTGGATCCTGATGATTTAATATCATATAATTAAAATATTTGTACATTACATTCACTTATTTTATCGTTTCTGTCTCTATAAGGTTAGACAAGTAAATACATAAGTAGCATGAAGTATTTAATAAACTCTTTTAAAGTTATCATGTTTATTCAAAACTAGCTTCTGCCCGCGACTTCGTACGCGCAATCCCGATATTTCCCGTTCCCGTTCTTGATTTTCGGTAAAAAGTAAAAAAAAAGAATTGGGTAAAAAGTATCCTATGTCCGTCTTCTGGTTCTAAGCTACCTCCCCACAAGTTTTCATCCAAATCGATTTAGCCATTCTTGAGTTATAAATAGTGTAACTAACACGACTTTCTTTTTTATATATAGATTTTGTCAATAAAAACATGACAGCAAAAAGTCTTACCACAACTAACATTCATAATGTCCTATCCAGGCCTGCAGCTTTATTTACAGCTGATGATTTAAGACATTCGATTACCCTAACTTAAATAGGTACGTACAATTTTTACAATCATGATGTACTATACTTAGAAATGCATAATAAATTACATAGAGCATAATTACATTGACTTCCTTACGGGATATGAGTTAACCATTATCTCACAAAATGATTCACCTGAAGATGAAAAATATTTGTTAAACGTTTTCGTCGGAGAGTAAGTAAACACTGATTTTCTTTAAACAGAGGTTACTTCTTGGAAGGAAAATGGATTTAGTCAGTCAATAAAAAAATTATATTAAGTAACTAGCTTTTACCCGCGGCTTCGCTCGCGTCACAAAAGGATAAAAAGTAGCCTATGTGACATATACCAATACATACAGCGCCATCTATACCAATACTTTTGTTTTCCCTCGGGAATATCAAATTTTTTCGGGATAAAAAGTACCCTATTATTTAATCCAGACTACTAAGTTTACATCTGCAAAAATTCAATGCAATCGGTTTAGTAGTTACGGCGTGAAGTCGGAACAAACAAACAAACAAACTCACTTTCAGATTTATAATATTAGTAAGGATGCATAACCAACTAGATCTAAACTAAAAAATATATCTTTTATAGAAGATTTTCACTATCATTTATATCTATTTGTTGATGCGTTTTGTGTCACCGAATTACAAACAGTATTGCCAGTCTACGAATAATGAGACTAGAAAAATATTCCATGGTAATTTCCAATTTTATTTGATTTGAGTTAGTTCTAATGAGTTTAACCAATTCCTTTGCCTAGCAACAGCCTCTCCATTAACTGTCGTCAGGTCATTACCACCTTTTCCTTTAAGAACATCTCTAGTATTTGCTTCTTTCGCCATATTCGTCCTCATTATCATTGTACAGACTGGTGAAGGGATAATAAGTCCAACAGTGATAATGAAGTCATGTAACAGAGACCTGTGCGCGACTGTATCTGATGTGACTTCAAGCACGTATGCCTTAGATTGTGAAGGTTTTAATTACATTTTATGATGTATTTTTACTGCAACAAGTTTCAAATTCCTGTGGCAACGTAATCAACATAGGATTAATACAAAATCTGTTGCAATCGAAGTATTGAATCTAAATACCAGCGCAGTTCCAAAGATCTTTATTGAATGCATTCCAAGTATGTAGAGCTGTGTTTACAGAATGTCCACACTTACCGGTTTATTGGTTTATACGAGATGCATCGGTTTATATTTGCCGAGACTATGAGTCAGGTGATTTTATTATTGACTAGCGGTTGCCCGCGACTTCGTCCGCTTAGAATAATGACTTCTGGCAGAATTTATGTATAAGGGATATTCTACGGTAACGAATGTCTTCAGAATTGATTAAGTACCTAATATAGGGCTCCTCTCCCGTAAATGATAGCGTAATAATATGTAGTCTATATGTTGACCCAACTTGTTAGTAATATTCTTGTAAATTTTAAAGTTAATCCATGCAGTACTTTTTGAGATCATCCCGGACATACATACAGACAAACAGACAAAAATTCTAAAAACTATATTTTTGGCTTCGGTATCGACTGTAGATCACGACTCAAGTATTCTTTAAAAAAATTTCAATGTACAGTTTTATCTTTTCTACGATTTTATTATATGTATAGATTTTCATGTTAGGATAACATTTCACAAGGCTGGTGGTAATCCAGGTCAATTTACCTGAAATTTGGCTAAATCAAGAAGTCCGTTGAATGTAGTTGCACCTACTTTAGTAGCTAGTATCTCTACTGCATTAAAGTTCAGAATACTTCTTACTAATGTTTTGATATTACAATTTATTACATTGGGGGCTACCGTGTTTATAGTCACCAGGTGGCGCAAATGTTCCAACACAAACTCAAAAGAATTTATTCCAATTAAACCTTAATATGGTACTTTTGAAACGTCAACAAATATGAAATAAATAATAGTCTGTCAGTCAGTCCGTCAGTGAAGTTAGTCGCTCGTTCCAAAATGAAGATTCATCGGAGCGAACACTAAAAAAAAGGTTTGTTTTGTCAAGTCTGTTGAAGGAAGATTTTTGTGCAATAACTGACCGTCCAATGGTCTGGCACTTGCTAATTCCCTATTGGACGAAAAACGAGAGGGTCACACTTTCGCCATCTGGTGAGTAAAACGCAGTAGACTCCTTTGGGACAAAAATACAAGTCATAATAGGCATTGACTACCTCATTAGCCGAGTGGTCGCAAGTGCGCCTACCGGGCAAGTGGTTTCGGGTTCGATTCCTGGGTCGGACAAAGTATAACTGGGTTTTTTAAAAATGCTCAATAGTAGCACGGAGTCTGGAAATCTACCCTGTATATGGCAATAGGCTCACAACCTATGGGACTTATATTATACATAAATAGTGAAAAGTGGGTGTTATATTGTACAGTGGCGATAACTGGCTTTATGTGCACCTCTGCTTACCCCTTTGAGGATAAAAGGCGTGATTGGTGTAATATTGTAATTTCTTCACATTTTTGTTTGAAACATAAGAAAATTACACGTGTTCAATCTCCTTCACCGTAACTAGACCAATTCTAAAGAATACATCGTTATGATGATCTTGATGGGTAGTCAGCAGTAAGTACATATAATCTATCGACCCGATTACAACTTATAACAATAAATGACTATAAATCTCAATGATTCACTGTCCAGGTTCACAAAAAAATATGGACACAAGTAAGGTCGTAACTTTAAATTATATCTCAGTTATAATGAGTTTCCTGTAAATGACTCAGATCCTACAATTGAGAGGAACAATCAGTTCTTTTTTTATTATTACTTAAGTTTTAGATGAATACTGTATTTTTTTCAGTATTGTATTTCGAAGTATGTGACGTGTTACCTATATTTCCTTCAGACTAACTCAGATAGAATTACATATATTTGATACTAGCTTTTCCCGCGGCTTCGCTCGCGTCACAAAATGATAAAAAGTAGCCTATGTGACATATACCAATACACACAGCACCATCTATACCAATACTTTTGTTTTCCCTCGGGAACGTCCAATTTTTCCGGGATAAAAAGTACCCTATTATTTAATCCGGACTTCTAACTTTACGTCTGCAAAAATTCAAAGAAATTGGTTTAGTAGTTACGGCGTGAAGGCAGAGCAAACAAAAAAACAAACAAACTCACTTTCCGATTTATAATATTAGTAAGGATCTCAGAGGTCTAAGACGCCTGCTTTTCATACTTACATAAGGGTCCGGGTTTGAAACCTACCAACAGCAAGTACCAATATGACGTTTTCCGAGTTATATGTACTGTCTAAGATTATTTAGACGTCACTGACAAACGGTGAAGGAAAACACCGTAAAGAAACCTAGACTTGTAAATTCTAATTATAAGTTTGATATCGCCAAGCCGCAATGAGCAAGCGTAGTGATTAATGCTTAAACCTTCTCCGTGTGAGAAGAGGCCTTTGGTCAGCAGTGGCCACTTATAGGCTGTTAATGTGATATCCCCAACTACAGTATAGAGTAGCCACTTACAATAATAATGCTGACTAAACGATGCTCTATATCGAAATACCTTAATCAAGAGTCAAGAGAGGGACATAGGAACAAACCTGTCTTAGAGGACTCCGTGCCCCCTATAAGTGATGAGGGTGGCCACCGGGATAGTTATAGTGAGGTAGGAATCCTACACTCCCCAGTTTTTTCTCCACAAAAAAGCTAGGCGCGTCATCAAAAAAAAAATTTACAATTCTCGATTCATAAGAAAAAACCAACACACGACATTGAAATCCACAGACCAAAGAAACTGTAAAGTCAAAGTCAAAGCATTTATTTCAATTAAACCATAGTTTGGTACTTTTGGAACATCAACAAATACAAAATAAATAATAGTCTGTCAGTCTATGATGAATCAGATGAAATGAAATCAGATCTTCAAAAAATTATAGGTAATATACACTGTTGAGACGTCAAAATATGCAACTAAATACCTGGTTGTGAAATTGTGACGTACATATATCTAATGATTCAGGTGTTGTGGGGATTTCACAAAGCATTTTGGGGAACACCCCACAAAGCAGGTCGATCAGTGACCCGTGCCCTCTTCGAGAGATGACCAACACGACAGTGGACTGCTTTTATGTAGCTTGAAGCTGTGGTTTAATAATTTCAAGTGTCAATGCGATATGTTAATGTTTATAATTCCGATGAGTAAGAAGTCAGGAATTTGAATATAATTTCTTCGTAGCCTTTCTCATCTGTCATGCCATTCTAGTAGTAAGCTCTCTTGAAAAGAGTACGAGAACTAGAACCAATTCAAAGGCCTGTTAGACAACGTTAAGCAAAAAGAGAGAAAAGCATTATTTAGTTTTGTTTCTAGGGCGGAGTTGTTAGACATTCTTTATGGTAGTAGGCACCGATTGTCACGGGGGTAGGCAGACTATGGAATACCAATTGCTACGATTCTTACATACATCTTTCGCTTCATCAACAGTCGTCAGTCTTTCCATGCATGCTCGTCGGTTAATAGTACTTATAATTTAGCCCTTCTTAAACTGTCAAACACCGCGATGACAGCGGTGACCGCAACCTATTGTTCTTTACTTGTGTCTATAATGACGGTACTCAAAGGGTAAAATATATCGCCAGTCTGGTCGGTTTAAGTCCAATAGTCAAATATATGTAACATTCATAAATTATATAAAACGGATATCAATACCAAGTTATAATGGGTGTACGTACAGACTTAATAAATGCACATTTTTATACACAGGAAGGATAACATTAGGGTAAAATAATCCTCTGTAGCCGCTACCGACTCATGAAATGAGTAAGATGGAGGCAAATAAAGAAATTACATAATATTTCAAACGTTGGTAAAATAGTCAGTTGATGAACAATGAATCATTGATGAGGACGAGACCAAAAAAAGAAATAGGGAAATCAAGATTTGCAACTACATATCCTTAACATGAATCAACCAATGATAAAAAGTACCTAGATTGTACAACATTTGTACATGGTAATAATTTGGTAGATGTGTGGGAGAGCCATGCTTCGGCGCGAATGGGCCGGCTCGACCGGAGTGATACCACAGCCTCAGAGAAAACCGACGTGAAGCAACGCTTGCATTGTGTTTCGTCGTGTGAGTGAGGTTACCGGAGGCCCAATTACCCTCCCCTTCCCCAATCTCCCCAATCCCTGAATCCCCAACGATACTCAAACTCCTAATCCCCAAAAGGCCGGTAACGCACTTGTAACGCCTCTGGTGCTCCAGGTGTCCATGAGCGACGCCGATTGATTACCATCAGGTGATCCGTATGCTCGTTTACCGGCTTATGCCTTAAAAAAAATATTAACCACAACCTGATGGCAATAAAATTATCATACGTGTGCGTCTACAATCGGCGTATGCGTCGCGTCGGTTGAAAACTTTTATACGTCATACGTGGGCTGATATGATTCAAAGTGACGTCACATTGGTTGTTAAATTAACATTTTATAAATTTCATCCTCAATATGATAATAGTTACTTTAATCCTATGTAAACATTTAAGGATATACAGAAATGCAAGGGTAAGTTATTCGAATTTTAATTCATTTTTGGCTACGTTATTAGACCCATACACTGTTATGGGGCTAGTCTATATTGATATAACTATCAAGTCTTTATACTGAGAATATTAAGACCAGTAGTAAAATTGCTCTCTTTTAGATTCTCAGTCGTAATTTATCATCTACTATGAAGGTACTATTACACATGCTAAAAAGTGTTCTACTCAGCATGCTCAAAAACGTTTAAAAATCGAACGCGAGTCGATACACAAGTATACCAGGGGGCTCTTGAATCCAATTCCGATCGATCGACATTAGTATTGTAAAATTTCGTACTCTTGAGTTACAACACTAGCGCCCATTGTATCCGTATTGCGTGAATATCGAATGAACTAATTGGTATTAAGTTTGGTTTTATATTCCGTACTCTGAATGCTATTTTAACAGCTACGAAAGGGGTTGTACAGTTTTGACATTAATTATTTTTAAGATTTTATTTAACTGCCTCGTTGGCCGTGTAGTCGCAATTGCGACTGCCGGGCAAGGGGTTTCGGGTTCGATTCCCGGGTCGGGCAAAGTATTACTGGGCTTTTTCAAAAAATCGGTTACTGTGCCCGGTATATGGCAACAGGCTCACCCCCTAATACATGGGACTGAAAACAAAAATAGTGAAAAGTGGGTGTTACATTGTACAGTGGCATTAAGTGCCGTAATGTACACTTCTGTCTACCCCTTCAGGGATAAAAAGGCGTGATGTTATGTTATGTTATTTTATTGGATTAAAATTGTATTGACATTGAGATTGGTTTCAAAAGTAAGCACCCTGAAATGAGCACGCTAATTTTGAGTAACATTTCGACACAAATGCTATTAAGTGACAAGTGCTCATTTAAGACATGCTTTCGTGTATCAAATTAGCATGTGTAACAGTACCTTAAAGGCTAAATTCTGGGAATTAAATCGACTAAAACCGTTTATGTCTCATACTTTGAACATAACATAACATCACGCCTTTTATCCCCGAAGGGCTTTTTTTTAAGTGGGGAAAATCATCGAATGACTGCTCCCGCCTGGTTGAGGCGGGAGGGACTAAAAACCACTCCGTTCCTTCTCCTGCACGTCGAGCCGGAGCCCCGGTTACCCGTTAGGTTCTCCGCGACTCCCCGAAGGGCTAGGCAGAGGTGTACATTACGCCACTGTACAATGTAACACCCACTTTTCACTATTTATGTTATGAGTCCCATGTAATAGGGGGTGAACCTATTGCCATATACCGGGCATAATTCCAGACTCCGTGCTACTACTGAGATTTTTTTAAAACCCAGTAATACTTTGTCCGACCCGGGAATCGAACCCGAGACCCCTTGCCCGGCAGTCGCACTTGCGACCACTCGGCCAACGAGGCAGTCGAGGCAGTCATACTTTGAACTTTTAATGTATTATTATGAATATGTACATTATGCTGTATACTATGTATAGTTCAAGGCAAGTGCCAGTTTTAACTTTTAGTTTTCCCACACTTACGGTAACCGGGGTTTTTATTGCGTCAGTATACATTTTACAGGATGTACATTTTTAATTGCAAGATGACTTTTAAAATGACATGATAACTATATCAGAAATAAATGAAGGAAACGGATCAATTAATTTTATTCGAGTTCTATTTTGTATTTCATTTATTTTGTGACTGTACCTGAAGTATGTTCTAACAAAACCTTCGCATTTAAGTATTTCCGTTGCGTTCGCAAAACACGAGCAAGACATTTTATAATGAAATTACTCACTTTAAAAAACCTCCTGTATAAGAATGTTAAAAAAACGTAGGTAACAATAATAAATAGACTATGATTGATTTGCCAGGTGAGTGTGAGTCACGGTAGCGCAGTGGTAGCGATACTCGGAAACTACAACTGCGGTTACTTAGAAAGCCATTGTTAAATATCTGACGTTAAATGAAATCCAGAACCTCTAAGGTTAAAAACTATAAATAAAATTAAACAAGGTTGAACGTTAATTTCATAAAATCGACGGACGTAGAAATCGACATTTTCTTTTCTTTTTAAAATTGATCGAAGTGTTCCTGCATTTTGTCTAAATAGATTGACTACCATTTATGGTCATATATTATGTTATTTTCATGTAAACCCAAAATAGAAACTTAATGCGTCAACGAAAACGGCTTCCTCATTGCGACAGCTATAGTCACTAAAATATATTTTCCATCACCGAACTATATCGGCGGGTGACCAATACTAATAATATGAATGTCTCTAAACACAAAGTGGAAGTTAATTCGTAAAAAATGTATTATAGCATTCAACCAGTCAACCATGTATCGAAATGTCGGCAACCATATTTTAAATTCAGTAATGCAGATGCGTAGTCCCTCTGTGTGTAACACTGCAATATATAACATACTATATACTCTCCTAGTGACAGAATCCCACCAGGAAAATAAAAAAGTCAGAAAATAGCAACACCAGAAAAAGAAAAAGTAATCAAGTAATCATACGAGTAGGAACAATATTTTAATATCAAGGCTAAACTTCCATTCACCGTACCTGCGTAGTTACCCTACATATTACACTTATATCGCGCAATACACGTATTAATTTCGTACGTTTAAACACCAAAGAAAAAGGAAATATCCCGCTTCCTATAATTCATTAATTGCGCGGAAAAGTTTATCTTACAAGACGTAGTAATATGGAGTAATTTAAGGTAGATAGTGCTGGTCACGTTGCACGCAAATAGGGTTCGTGGTGCAAAGCCGTGATAGAGTGGAGCTGGAGACCGTGATATATGAAAAAAGTCTACACGGAAGACCCCAGATGCGTTGATACGATGACATCTAATGAAAATCTTGTACGAAATTGCTAAACACCGAAAGAGATGGCAGAAACTGAGGGAGGCCTACACCCTTAGGGTAGAAAAAGGTTAAAGTAGAAGGAGGATATGGATTGTAATTGTAATTTCTTGTAAACGAACATGGAAATAATCACATGTTTTTAAATGCATAATAACATAACATAACATCGCGCCTTTTATCCCCAAAGGGGTAGGCAGAGGTGCACACAGAAGTAACACCCACTTTTCACTATTTTTGTTATGAGTCCCATGTAATAGGGGGTGAGCCTATTGCCATATACCGGGACATTTCCAGACTCCGTGCTACTACTGAGATTTTTATAAAAAAAACCCAGTAATACTTTGCCCGACCCGGGAATCGAACCCGAGACCCCTTGCTCTTCAGTCGCACTTGCGACCACTTCTTATTGCATTGTTTTTTAATTACTACTGAGTATGTTTTTTACCTATACTTAGAAGAATATGAATCGCCCTACATGCTTGGGAACTTATAAATAAAATGTCTATATTTAACTGGGTTGAGGAAAATCTGCGTGTGAAGATGTAGCTTTATAAATCTCATAGCTTACTCAGACATAATTACGTAGGTACTATGCTACAGATTGTGGTCATTTTCGGGACTGAACCCATGTATCCGGAAGCGCTATAAAAGAATGTTAAAACTGAACACGAACATCTATATATGAGTGTAACAGCCTTTTTCGGTAAATAAAAGCACACCGGATCTGACGTGCAGTCAAGTACAAGTGCAGTCAAGAATATAGCATAAATGTCACCCTTAGCGACATGTGGAAGTCAATTATGGAAGTTATAAATACAAACGTTTGTATGTGTAGTTATTTGTTACTCCTTCATGTCAAAACTGCTGAAGAGATCAGGACGACATTTGGAACAGTGGTAACTCATGGTGTGGAATAACACACAGGTCACTTTTATGCCAGGGGAACGCGGACTACACCCCTGGCAGAATCTAGTGTAACACTTTTTTTAAGGGACAAGCCCACCAAAACCTCCCAATACCTGCAACTCCTGTAAGCCAGGATCTAGAGGTACATATAGATACAACCATGAAAACACCGGAACACTGAAGTCCGGCGCATCCCAGGGACATAAATAACTGTCTTGGTTCCCGCAACGAAGTAAATCAGAAGATATTATAAGAGGAGAAGAAAAAATGATAGTTTCCACTTCCCTCTGTGAATTACTGCAGGAGACAGAATGAATTAAGCCTGAAGGCACAAAAAAGACAACTGGGTGAAGTCCTCCCAGTCGCCAAGCACCACGGAAATATAAAAACCAAGTGGGTCCTATGTGTGAGCTGTTATACTTGCTTCCAATAATAGGTATGGCAAAAGCGCCAAAAACGGACATTTGTTCTAGATTCCATAAGGTCCGTATAATAACGAACAATATAGTATATCCCTACAGAACTTAAGGTTTCAAAGCACAAACTTGCTACTATAATATAAGTAGGTAATTGTTTAGAACTCGTCACGCAATTCCCAGTACCCCGTCAGTTATGTAACACTGTCAACACAATACTTGTTTACATACAAAATATAAACGGGAACACGCTAGCACTGACCACGACCTACCTAAGTACCTATGAATATGAGTAAGCTCAATCCTATAATAGATACATTTCTGCCCGATGTAAAACTCCATTGACGTGTATAACCAAATAACATGAGAGGAGTCAATGGAATTTCTAAATGTGTTTTTCAATGGGTGTTGTTTTTTTGTCCTGTTGGTAACTATAGTCTAGACACGCGGTAGTGTGTCAAGTCAAGTTCAAGAAAGACAACTGGCGAACCGCACCGTGTGTAATATTACACGAACCATTTGGAGCCACTTTTGACCTCCTCATAGCCTTTAACAATGATATTTGAATATATAAAATAGGGTATATTAACAATATTCGAGATGAGCACCAAAGCTCCTAAATTACAAATAAAAAGGAGAAGCCTAATCGTCATAGTCTAAACCAACACGCAGATAATATATTTATATAAATTTGCCTCGTTGGCCGAGTGGTCGCAAGTGCGACTGCCAGACAAGGGTTATGAAGTTCGATTCCCGGGTCGGGTAAAGTATAACTGGGTTTTTAAAAAAAAATCTCAGCTGCCGTTCGATGATTTACCCCCTTAAAAAAAAATGCTAGAACTCATAGTAATGAGCAGTATGACAAACGATGAATTTACGTTCGATTGGGTAATTAGTGTTACGTTGTATACAGGGGATTTGGGGATTATAGAGATGCGACCTTAATGTTATGTTTCATCATAAAAAATTCGTCTGAGATGCACCGTTTTAAGAATTAGCTAGTTAAGATTTCCGAATCAGTCATCATCAGTAGGATTATATGTATATAAGAAAAATAAAAAATAATATTATATCGAATCGGTTCATCACTTTTGTGAAGTTTTCTATCCAATATTGAAAATTTGCGGAAATTTGATGATTTAATCAGCGTCATCATAGGTACCGAACAAGATAGTGACGTATTGATGAGTGCGGTTTCGGAATCCACAAGATGAACATAGGAAAAGTGTTTAAAGGTATCATGCCCTCTTTAACTATTTTGTATAGGCATTTAGATGACTATTTTATATAGACATCAGCATCACTGACAAACGATAAAGGAAAACATCGTGAGGAAACCTGGGCTTATAATTTCTAATTATAAGTTTGAAATCGCTAACCCGTATTGGGCAAGCGTGGTGGTTAATGCTCAAATCTTCTCCGTGTGAGAAGAGGCCTTTGGTCAGCAGTGGACACTTATGGGCTGTTGATGTAATGTGATGTAATAATAATATTCAATGTTCAGCTAGCCAGTGCAAACAGTTTAACGTATTTTAAAAATCGAACTGTATTTGTTGTCTCTTATCATCAGAAGTTTCTATACATTAATTTCGATTCTGCAACGTTTGCTTACTCAATCAGATCACATCTTATTTAAGATCTTTGTTTAATTTAATCATTAGTCCAATTCGCTTCAAGGCTCTAATAAATTCATGATTTTTCAATATATTATATTGGCAATTCAAATCATTGAAATGTGTGCTAAATTCTGTAATATCTTTAGGTGCTAATTTGATTGTGTGGGCTGATCTCCTTATAAATTGTTGGGCTAATATTTTCATTGTGTATTTTAAAGTTGTTACATTTGTTTATTTTCATTCGAAACGTCACCTACTACCTATTGTAATGCTTAAAAACACTTCTACAAAAGTTAAGACAGAGTTCTTTCAACCTCATTTATGACGTAAAGCCCATCCTGTGGAATATGGAGAGTAATCTTACTGTCTCAAACTTTTTTATTTTTTAAAAAAAAAACGTTGCCCCACACTAGGATTATCTCCTGTGTCGTGGGTGCGTTTACAAACATACAAGTTCACATACACATGACACCCAGATCCGGAACAACAATTTGTGGATCGCACAAAGTGTTGTTCCGTGCGGGAATCGAACCCGAGACACGTTGCACGGCAGCCGGTTGCCCAGCCACACCGCACCAACCGTGCAGTCAAACTTGTTGGTAGCACTCGAAAAGAACCAAAAAAAAACATAAACGTTGCCCAAAAGTATTAGGATCTATAAAAACAATACATGACCTATTTGAAAAACCGTTCATTTATCTTGACAACGACACTACAATACTGCCTCTGGTGTTCAGAGAAAACCTGATCACATTATTTCCTTCCCTAGAAGCGAATGGTCTTCATTGGCCTTCGCTTCAATTAATCCCAAGCTATTAGACTTTAATCCACCTACGTCACTGTGACGTGTTTTAAATTCTTTAGGTTTAACTTGAACTAGAGTAAACTCTTAAAGCCATCTTGGCCTATAGGACATGCCGTAGAAAATGACGCAAAATGTCAACTTGTTTTCCTTCTAAACTTGATTTTCAATTGCAATCTACTTTAATTGCATCGATTTCATAGTAGTAAACTTATCGGTATCGGTGCAAACATTTGAAATGATATTTCATAATCAGTATGAAACATAACATACATAACATCACGCCTTTTTATCCCGAAGGGGTAGGCATTACGGCACTTAATGCCACTGTACAATGTAACACCCACTTTTCACTATTTTTATTTGAGTCCCATGTAATAGGGTGTCCCAAGACTATTCTAGACTCCGTGTTACTACTGAGATTTTTAAAAACCTAGTAATACTTTGCTCGACCCGGGAATCTAATCTAACCCTTGCCTAACCTAACCAAAGCCCTTGCCCGCCGCAGTCGCACTTGCGACCACTCGGCTAACGAGGCAGTCAGTATGAAACATAAAGCAAAAATTAGTGTTAACTTATATCATCATGTTTAGGGAACAAAACGTATGAATACAATGCGATGCTGATGGTATTTATCTGACAAGATGAATAGAAGTAAAATGATGGCGCCAATCAGGAGACTCATCGCATCAATATTTAAAACATCGATTACTAACTGACTGGGTATCCTGATGATTTACATTTCCGAGAATTAACCCTCTGACCAATACAATTACAATTTAACTGACTAAGGAATCATCTTTTTTTATTTTTGGAACTTTTTATGGACCACATGACCACAAGTTCGACTTCCGAAAATGGAGTGGAGTAGAATTGTAGAATCTTCGCAAATTAAGTTTCCTCTATAGAAATTTCCGTGTACACGGAATCTGAGACTGTCAGTATGTAGGTAATAATTTAATTATTATTTGCTTCCCTATTACATTAGCTTAATTTAGATGTACTATTAATAGCGTGCGTTTGTTTGTATTTTATTAACAGAAAATGGAAGCCGTGTAACTACAAACTGGTATCGCTTCCTACAAACAATTTAGAAACATAAAAATTCGTCTATTACATCCTACATAGATACAGCCCTTTATAAAAAATTCCATAGTTCAAAGACATTTTCCGGACGTAAGATATTCATTACGACGTGTTACAAAACGTAAACGTACATTACATAGACTTATCTCGTGATAAAAATACATAATTCCATGTTTCCTTGTTTTATTTCGAGTTGTATAAGGAAATTGTTTTGTATTACTATGATATTATAGTAGTTATAACAGATTGTAATCGATTTACCTAGATGTATTGATTTGATCACGCGGCGCAATTAATTAATTGGTTCCATCCGTCTGTTCCGTTAAGTAAATAGCGGAATATTATGTAATCTTTGTTCCTTTTTACTGTTTCAAATACTAGACAAAAAGTTTAAGTTCCTAATTACAATTTTAAATTGTATAGGACCTATGATAGTACCCTGTGGTACTCCCAAAATTTAGTACTTCATGCTTAAGGAAAAACATCCAGCAGCAGTATTTTTTGCAACTTAATTCCCCATTTCGATTACACATGTAAAGATGTGGAGGAAATCTTATCTCTTTTGATATTCTTATCAAAAAACACTCTTGAATAGTTTTGGACGTGTACGAAGTTGACATGATCCATTGATTGGTATAATTTTATCTCCGATTGTTGACTGGTCTTCTATTGTATACATTTAGGTTTGTCAAGGCTTGCCTTTGGTTCAAGAACCATGGACGTCTAGACCTGTCTGTCTGTCAAAGTTTTTATTCTTCCTTCTTTAACATTTCTTGAAAATTTCCTTTTTATTACTAGAATCGTGGGTATCACTTAATAATCAAGTTATGAATAAGTTTTTGAGTAATACAACTTTGATATTGGAAAATTTTTATTCTTTCGTCTTAGACGTAAATTTTTATTTTCTTTTTTCTATATCTGATTAAGTTTCACGATGAATCAGCCTCATTAATATGTAAAACTAAAGTGTGGATTTTGCCCATAGGTAAAATGTATTTTTCTAATGTTCTAGCCTCAAAATGGTGTCAGCAGATGAATATAATAATGGGCTAATCACATTAACTACGTGTACACGCACAAAACACATAAATTAATAATCTGTGCGATTGTGTTATTTTTTAGTGCAGTCTGTAGAACTTAGGCATAACATGAAACACCTTGGTCGGCTTGCAAGCGTCGCTCACATCGGAATGGTAATGTGGTTATATTGGGGCATAATTTCTCAATTTCGGCGAATGTGCTCTGAGCTGAATACATAAATAACTGCATTTCATTTTTGTTTGTTTGATTTTGATGCATATCGTCGTTGAAGATTAATAAACTTTTGTACGGGTAAAAATTTGCCTCGTTTTTGTAGTGGTTCGTAAAGTTCTTGATTTCACTAAAGTTGAAAAATTTAAAACCCATTGATAGGTACTACGTGGAATCGTAGAATCGATCGTCCTTAGGTCTTAAAAATAAACACAAAGAAATTTTACAAATCAACCAGATCCTCCATCCTCGGTTAAGAATGAGCCTCTTCAAAAGGACACCACTAAGCTCGATCTTCAGCTCAGTAGAACTTTGGTAGACATGTAGTGACGTGTTGACGACCCGCTTCGCTTCCGTGGACAGCGTCACATACTTGTACACTCCGACAGGTCAAAGTCACGGCCGATGTCATGATTCACACAGAAATTATTAAAACTTGCGGTTTTAGTAGCTCGGTGTTTTCTTTTACATGTTTAAACTAGAATTTACCTGCGTCTTCGTGCACGTGGGCTGGTTTATTGGTACTTTTCACAAAATGTTAAGTTTTAGTAACGTATGCTCAGTAATGAACTAAAGCGAGTTGATAGTATTCATTTCCTAGATTATTTTCATCTTCTTTAATAATATCTTCTGATTTAATCGTTGCATTATCCAAGTTTTTCATATCCCTGAGACGCGCTGGCCTTCAGTGTTCCAATGTTTTTATGGTTGTATCTATTGTAGATAGATCCTGGCCTAAAGTAGTTGTAGCGGTTTTGGGACGTTGTGGCGTGCTTGTCCTATAAAAAAACTTTTCTTCATAATCGGATCAGCGTTTTAATCCTGAACACATTACAGATACAAAGTAACTTTTGCATTTATTATAATATTAGTAGAAATAGTTTTTTCGTGACTTCCAAGTAGATATGTAGTTATGTTATTAGTGTAATGGATGTAAGTGCTTCTGTTCTGTGTGTGTTGTATTTGGGCTGGTAATGATTTTAAATTAATTGGTTTTTCCGTGTTATGTTGCGTCGTTGGGTTTTATTTATATTGCGAATGAATGTATACTACGATTAAGATGCGGTTTTATTAGACCAAGTCACATGGTCCATGTGTGATTATGACTGAAAAGAACACTACCAATTGACTGTTAGTGGTCATAAGTGAGTGTATATAAACATAGTTCACATTCACCATCTCATAAAGGCACCTATGTTATCTAGCATCGTATCATAAAACTTTTCATAACCAACAATACATAGGTTTAACATCTAAAAGAGTAATATTAGTAAGTAGGAGCAACTCTTTTTATGATCCACAAATTGTTGATCCGGGTCTTTTTTTAAGGGAGGAAAATCATCGAATGACTTCTCCCGCCTGGGTGAGGCGGAAGGGAATGTCAGACTCTTACTGACTAGAAACTACCCCGTTCCTTCTCCTGCACTTCGAGCCGGAGCCCCGGTAACCCGTTAGGTTCTCCGCGACGGGTGTCATGTGTATGTGAACTTGTATTTTTGTAAACGCACCCACGACACAGGAGAAAATCCTAGTGTGGGGCAACGTATATAAAAAGAAAAATGTCTCTACCACAAACTATTTATGAATTAAGTAATCTCATTATGTACATGAACAAATTAGTCACATGTGTTTACGTCACACATATCTACATATAATATAATGTACCTACGTAACGATACGTTATCAGATAAGTGTCCAAATCTTATTTACTAAACATAAATATTTTGGCCGTGGTGTTCCTATTCCGTAATATTGTTGTAGTTTGTTGTTCACTTTAAAATTGCCCGTAGATATAACATTAATTAATATTTGGTTTATTTCAAGAAAACGTTAGCAAAACTGACTGCCTCGTTGGCCGAGCAAAGTATTACTGGGTTTAAAAAAAAAGTCTCAGTAGTAGCACGGAGTCTGGAATTGTGTCCGGTATATGGCAATAGGCTGACACCCCCATTTACATATTACATGGGAGTCATAACATAAATAGTGAAAAGTGGGTGAATGTACAGTGGCATAATGTGCACCTCTGCCTACCCCTTCGGGGATAAAAGGCGTGATGTTATGTTATATGTTAGCAAAAGTAAAATTGTGTAGACCCTATTAATGCGGTAGTTGATTGACTATTCTAATTCAATACTTTTATCGAAACGTCAACAATGATACTTTTCTATTTATTTAGTATGAGATTGCAACTTATAACTGAGGGAATTAAGTACCCAATTCGTAGTAGTTAACAATAAGTAATGGCTAAGAATTGGGACCTGTCCTAATTGGACTTAAAAACCTATGTATGTTATTGTTATAGAAAGACGTGGGAGCCTCAAAATGCACTTAAATGCTTATAGAAAGGTTATTGATTTTTATCAATAGGTTTACACGACACAACCTTAAATAGTTAACCACTTTAAAATAATGCAGGATAATCCATTCATTTCATTTGAAAGGTTTTTCCAATAACTAGGTACGTCAAAATGACGTGAATATCATATCAATAGTAAATTGGTTACTATAATAATATACATATTACTATTATTGGTCATATATATGACATAGGAATTCATTAATATCCATATATGGACTAATTATACTAATGTGACTGCCTCGTTGGCCGAGTGGTCGCCGGGCAAGGGGGGGAAATGTATCCGGTATATGGCAATAGGCCCTATTACATAACATAGAATTGTGAAAAGTAGGTGTTACATTGTACAGTGGCATTATGTGAACCTCGGCCTACCCCTTTGGGTATAAAAGGTGCGAAGTTTTGTTATGTTTTAACGAGGAAAGAGAGTAGTTACTGTTATCTACACATAGGTACTACATATTATAGGTACATTAGGTATAAAAGTAAATATAATACGTCATATTAAGGAAATATCTACTTTTTTCCCTTTTCAAAATCAGGTTTATCCAAACCTTTGACGTCATAAGCATCATAAAATTGAATTGATGTGCAATAATTGACTACTTTTTGAGCAATACAAACAAAAACACGTGACATTCGAAGGATGCATCAATTCCTACTTTCCTCGGATAAAAATGTTTTGCTTCTAATTTGCAATACAACAAAATATTTAATAATTTTCCCACTTTTATGGCATTGATGTTCAATTTTTGTGATAACTTAATTACGAAAACTAGTCGTTAAAATATGATGTTATAGTGCACAATTTCGCATGACAATCATTGCAAAATTATGTTATCTTCTTACCTTAAATTATGCTTCTTTTTCATCCTAAAAATGTATTAAAGAATTGACTAGTTTCAAATTACCCTATTAAACATTTATGTTTTTATAACATCAGTTTCAGAGCAGTAACTAGTTGGTAGCAGTGTAGGTAATTATAAAACAAAACAGTATTTCTTTTTGGTCCTTTACTTCAAAACCACAGAACAAATCTTCATTGACGTCAGCTTTGGCGCCAGAAGGCAATATCAGAAAGATACACTTAATATGTCTGTCTGTCCGTTATTTTATCTGTATTTATCTGCATCTTCATCTACAAACTCAAAGTAATCGTTTTCCATTTGACTGATAGCAAATAATACTTTCCACGACCGATATCAACTGAATTGGGTACTATCCAAATAGTCAAATTTAATACTTTTTTCGAACTGTCAAAAACGACAGTTTTCTATGAATTTTGTACGAGATTGTGCATTGTGACGTCATGTTTCTTTAGTGTCAAACAGCATACTTATTTCTTAAAAATTTGCTGGAAAAATACTAAAATTAAGTTAGTCATAAAATCAATTAATGAAAGTGTAATTATTTTTTAATGTTTATTGTATTGAACAGTCGAAATAATTTATTTTAGACTAAGAATAGTATCCAATTGTCTGATGATTTTCATATTTCTTATGAATAACCAAAAAAATAAATATTGCAGATTACCTAAATAAATAAATTACATAAAATAATTAAATTTCGTAATAATTTTCAAAATCAACAACATCTAAAGACATGGTATTAAAAAAGTAATCAGTGAACATTTCAAACAATACGGGGAAAACGTACACCTAAATAAAAATATTATGTTTTGTTAAACTACGTTATCAGTAAGATCAGTCTGTCCCTGTAACCTGTAGACAACAACATTCCAATAGACGCCATCTTTCAGATCCTAACTGAAAAAAAAAACGAGGTCAAGAACAGACAACTTGATAAAGAAAATAATCAGAGGCGATTTTTCCAACACTCCCATATGACTCGCCACAAACAGTGGGCTGATTTTCCTATCAACGTGGAAAAAAACACAAGATAGTGGCTAGCATAAATACAAAATTACTTTGACACTGTGCCACAGTGCATGACAGTACGAAGGAGATTATGGTGTGACACGTCGAAGGCTGTGTTATCGTTTCCGAGAAAATTCTCACATACACCTAATCTCTGTGTGTCAATGCATCTAATCATACTCTTTGATAACATGTGCACACCCGCCTATATTTAAGCGGTGGGTAGAGACCATCATGTTTTCTTTACAGTGTTGTTCAGGGTTAGGTATGGTAATCATATGATTTAACAAGAGATTAAAAGCGTCATGAAGGTTTAAGATAAAACGGAATTAGGTTAATTTACTACGCCATCAGATTGTAAATATTTCAAAACTGAAATATGATTCTCTGGTAAGTTCGGTCTTCTTGGCGCTTGTAGTTCGACGGCATGGCTTAACTGGCGACTTAGTTCCAACATTTGCCGCCAACGTTGGGGTAAACGTTGGTGGCTGACGTCAGAGTGGGTACTTTCAATTTATTGGTCGGGAATGCAGACGTTAGTGCATCATCTCACTTAATTATGAAACAATTAGTTTTTGTTCGCGGTTTTAGTTACAAGGAAATTCCCCTGCCTTCCTTAGTTTATTGTACATACGTATAAATCTTATTTTTTACCATTTTATCCTATTTGACCTGTAGGGTATGGAGGAAAATTTTTTAACTTAAAGAAATTATTTAGGACTCCTGATTATCTAATACTTGGCGAGAATTCACTACATGGGCTGAATGAGATAGGCTTGTCCAATTAAACCATAAGAAAATTTTGTTCTTAACCCGAACACTGAAACTTGAAGTATCAGAATTCTATCTGTCGCCTCCGTACACTTTAAAACGACAGAGATAGCACGACAGTTAACGGCAAATCACAATTAAGCTGCGCTTGACCATCGCGCACACACGTCTATAAGGAAAAAAAGAAGTTATCTTAAAATATATTTAATTTAATTTAAAGTAATATAAGGAATATTAATATAGGTAATCAGTGTGTACTGTGCACACACGTATGCTGCACATATGTGTGTAGTTGTGTGGCGAGACAAAACAATGGGAGTGATGTACTCGAGTATTTCAGTGAGACAGTCGCGTCGGTTAGTCGCTTAGCATTCTGAGCTTCGGAGAGACGTATAGTGCAACACCGTGCTACTGTACCGAGTGGATTTTATAAACGTTTTCTTATAACACTTGGGTAAGTCATTTTAAATTGTTTCGTTTGTTTTTTTTTCTTGACGTTTGCAACCTCTTTTCAATTTCGGTTTAGATTTTTTGAGTTGTAGTTTTCTGCCCATCAATTTTTTATTTAATTAATTGTGATTTCGCTTTTTATTTCGTTTACGGGATGTTGGGTTTTAATTAATGGTATTATGATATGAGTAATTGGTTTTTCATGAGGTGCTCGGTAAAGACTATAGAATATTGCAAAATATTGCATTAATTAAGTTTTGCAGTTTGTTTTTGATTAGTACTTGATTGGAGAACACTTTTTAATAAAATTAATTTCGCGAGTCGGGAAGCTCTGGAACTGAGCCCATTCAACAACCGCACAGTGCTACAACTCTATACAAATTGCCAAACTGTAGTAAAAATCTATCGGTTGCGTGAGCCGGTGAGCCCTAAGGCTTTCGTGTGACGTAGCGACGGGCTCGTCGTCTCGACCAATCACAGCGTTGACTGATCCATAAAAACGTCAAGCGTGAAGCGGAAAGACCAAACGAGAATCGTACGTGAGGCAGAACGCACGCCGGTGTCAAACGGGACGCGCTACATTCGTTCGCCCAATAAAATTTACGCTCGCTTACGATCAGTGTTGTGTTGTTCGCATTTCAGAATTTTAAAAGTGAGTAAAAAGAAAAAATATTTTTTCTGCAATTTATTTCCGATTTGTCTCCTGTGGGTGTCCAGTCGGAACCGGTGTGTAATCGGATGCTGGATTGGTTCAAGTGATATTAACTTAGTTCCAAGTAAGCTATCAGTTTTTGTATCAATTTGTAAGTTGTTTGCAAACAAAATTATTGAACGTGACGTGGTTCCAAGTGGACATTCATGGTTGTTAACTATTATAAAGTCGCAATAAGTGGAATTACCTCTTTTTTGATAATGTTTGCATTAACATAAAGTAATGAGTGCTGAAGGAGTGTTTACAGTGTTTCTGAACATTGGAGATAAAACTTCTGAAGCACAGAGCTTGATGATAAACACAGCCTCTAACTTATTTTCACTATGTAAACTATTGAGGAACTCACTTATCCTAAAAGAATACTTAAGTATAATTGTAAGCCTCCTGTACATACACTATCTACATATTTCTGTGTTCTGTCAACATTGAAGAAGAAGGCTTAATTTAATCTCTTACGTAAATGCTATCGGACTTTTACGTTCAGCTGCTGAGTAATCGTACTAGATATTCAATTTTGCAATCAAATATAGGATCTAGAAGCCATTATAACATTAAAACTCTTCGGATTTCCCTCCAAACTAATAACAGTGCTAAAATCTAATAAAGTCTTTGCCCATGCTACTAATTGGGCTACTTGAATGAGCGCTGTACTCAATTCAAAATCTTTTGAAAGCCGCAATTCAAATCCAACAGCAAACAGCCTCAGAACCAAAGTAAATATGTAAAGAGCGTTACATACTACGTTGCAATCAAGAACAGAGAATTAATCTCAAATATTTTGTTGTCATTGATAAAATTGTGTCATTCTTATCACATTATCTGTTACGTGCAAAAAGTAAATATCATTCCGATATCAATGCTGGGATATACAGAGATACTTGCGAACTGATCTCACGTGAACACACTGAACTAAAGCAAATATTAAAAACGAAAGTGGATGTTTAGTTTTCTTAAATATTAAATCCACAAATATGCTTAGAGATGCGCTGGTAGAGAATGTCAAAACCACGTGTGCTACTAATATAGTAGATGAAGATGATTGATGATTATTTCATTAATCTTTGAACAACTTAAGCTTCATAAAAATAGTTAAAGTTACTTACATACAAGAACACCATTACACATGTCACCTTAAGAATATTGTAACTTATGCATATTTCCAACAAAAACAGCTTAGATAACAAAATCGAAATTCCCTCCAAACTTCACCAAAATATTCAGTCACATCACATCTTACTTCAACGTGTTCCACATCCTATTCTAATATAATAACAAACACACGTACTACATGTTAAAAGGATCCAAGTTTTTCATCTTCAAGTTTAACCAATTCATTATCGCTTATACGATTATGGAATGCAGTAGTTTGAACTATATAGTCATGATCGTTGACACCTTTCTCTGGTGTGTCGGGTGACGCAACAAACTGTGTCTGTTTCGCTATGTCGTGCACCGATGCACCGTGCACACCTGTCCTTTCTAATGCTTTTGTAATCCCGAAATTATTATCATCTTCATGTCCATTTCTATTTTCTGTTAGTGAATGTTCGATAGTATCTTAACGAGCAACTTTATCTGTTACAAATCTTGTGTAATATTAAGCATGTTCATCTGCACTTTTTAAATTAATACCTTTCCCCCAGGGCTGGGGCTTCACAAGCATTAAGTTTACCATGTAAACCTTCCTCTTGAATCACTCTATCTATTATAAAAACCGCATCAAAATCTGTTGCGTAGTTTTAAAATTCTGAGCATACAGACAGACACACAGACGACGGAAAGTGACTATGTAGTGATTATTGTTCTACAATTTCTTTAATTTCTTCGACTATAGTACTGGACCGTGTTGCAGTGTAGACGTTGATTGCATGCAATTAACTTTTACCTACACGACACACTTATGTATTGGTATATGTTAATCTGTTTCTATTTGTCTAACGTCTAGCCGTGCAGCTTATAAATGATTGTACAAATATGCACATTGCACATAACAATGTAGGTACAATGTAGATACATAGTTCAAATATTACGAAAATTGCATTCGAATTGTTAAACTGTTTGGATCAAACAGGATAAATGCTATAAATTATATAATTCTGTGTCAGTTCAGTGTCACATATAATTTTACTTATTTCCTTAATGGCAATAATATAATTTGGCTATAATGTACATGTTCAAAGGGTCGTTTTAGCTACTCTTTTGGTTCTTTAATTCATGATAGTGTTCAAACAACCGTTGTTAGTCGTAAAGTTTGTTAATAAATAAACGAAGTAGTAACTTTTAAGCACAATAAAATGAAGCTCAAGTGTTCATTAAATATTTTAGCATACATGTATATGTATATTTTAGCTTACAGTTATAATAAAAATGTAAAAACTTTTGAAAATTGCTATTACTTGTAAAAATATCATCATTCTTTAATAGCTTCAACACACACTTCACATGGCTTTAAAATAAATTGATATCAAGAATTCAGGCGAGTAACTATTAAACTGAATATAACATTCCAAACTTCAGTTCATCTTTAACATCATAAAAATATCTATAAATATATATTTACGTGTCCACCCACTAAATCCAATTTTAAACCAAAATTCTGACTTTATCATTGTTTTAAAGTATCGAAATCATTAGCGACGACTACACTGACAACACTGACGAAATGTCAAAATGACTATACAACAATGTCATAAAAAGTACCATAAAAAAATTAAC